AGACATAGATGTACATTGGAAGAGATGGGAAAAGGAAGCAGTGACAAGGGAGAGCATGGCGGAATAAATTGGGGGAAGAAAGGGTGGGAAAGGAGAGAAAGTAGAAACAAGAGGAAATAGTGAGAAAGGAACAAGGGAAGAGGCGTGGGGAAGTGGGTGTGAGAGAAATCTTAGACAGAAGAAGTGAAAGAAGAGGGTAGCAGGTAGATGGGGAAGTAGAAAGGGAGAAGGAAGAGAGCAAGAGAATTTAGAGAGAAGCAGGGAGATGAAAAAGGAAGAGAGCAGATTAGAGAGAAGGAGGAAGCTGGGGAAGTAGAGAGGGAGAAAGAAGAGGTGTATGGAAGAGATCATGGGGAATTAGAGAGGGGAAAGAGGAGCAAGGGGAATTAGAGAATGAAAAGATAAATGGAAGAGAGGGCAAGTAAAGAGCAAGGGGAAATAGAGAGGAGGAAGTAGAAGGAGAAACTAGAGGAAGTAGTGAGAGGATAATTCCTACGAAGAGGAGAGATCTCGAATGGCCTGTAGGGTATTCTTTAATATTGAGAAATACGTATTGTACCTACGTGCAATGCTTCGAATTACAGTACTCGTCAACCTCCAGCTTCTTGCCCTATTTGATACATATACATATCATCGACAAAATTCGTTTTAAAAGTATTTCGTAAGTAACTACAGTGGTCCAAATGAAATTGTCAAGAAATAGAAGGATTATCTCCCTTGGTGTAAAACGTATAGAAAACGTTCCTTTTTTGAACAAGCTACATATTCAGGTTCTCTTGGAACCCAACGTCTTTCATAGGACTATTATATACAGATTTCACAGCGGGGACCCTGAAGGAGGTAACGACATGCAATTTTCAAGTACAAGAAAGGGGTGTGGGTGGGCGAGATGAGAAAAAAAGAAAGAGAAAAAGTGCCCATTGACCCTTCTCAGGTTCGAGGAGGGGGTAGAGGATGGCTCAATACGTCATTGTCCATAGTAATACTCGTTTTAGTTATTCAAAATTTACAATGACGTCGTCCTCCCCCCCCCCCCCCC